TACCTCAGGCTATGCCTTCTCTCATAATGCTGTGCCTAAGCTCAAAGGGCTGGACCCGTTGTCATACTGTCAGGATGCGAGCTAGTCAGCTATTTTTCATGGATATCTCTTACTTCCCTTTCCTTGCTCTCTCCCATCTTTAAAAACATCTTCTAAAGCTCTCATTGCTTTTTTTTCTCTTCATCCTGCCGAGCTGCTCTTTCAGATTCTGCCCACCATTCCCTGCTCTCCAATTTCCGGATCAGCCTCAGTGCTTTTTTTTTATTTTTTATTTGTTTTTAAACTTATTCTCTTCCTCTTATTCTTTTTGATTTTCCCTTTCTTTCTCCTTATCAGATCACTATGATGTTCCCACGTAATTCCAAAGCTGTGACAGCTCAGAACAGCCACTAATATGGGAGACACTTGACAAAGCACTACGCACGTTTCTTTCAGTTTGTCTTCAGTTCCTCTTTCACTCTCAGGTTATTCATTTCTCTCACGCCTCTCAATCTCTCATTCCATCTTTGGCCGGTGTAATCGTACTTCTGGGAACACTGAAGCATGACAATCCATTAGCAAGTAATGGAGTCCTGCTCTCTGCCGTGTGCTCTTATTATTTTGGCTTCCACTTCCACTACTCCTTTGCACTCTCCCCTTCTTCCCTGTGCTGTCGTCATACGATAAACTATGGAGCGCTGAGTTTATGGGACGGCTTGCATAATATAGCCTGCTGCACAAGTGGTTATTCATGATTTTTCTCAGTGCGTGTTAAGCACAGATGAACACAGATTTAAATGCTGACATACACGTTGTCATTAGTTAAAGCTAATAAGATTAGCAGGGTGAGACAAAAGACTCCTTGTAGTGAGACATTGTAGTTTAATGTGCTGTGTAATGGTTGTTTCTGGAACATAGGTGCTATAGAAAGACACTATGGTGTACTGTGAAGCACCGCATTTTGGTCATTGACATGAAGTTCAGCTTATATTAAGAATATTCTTAATATTTGATGACACTATTACTATTTACAGCAGGTGCAGTTAAATACTTGGACATAGACACTGTACAGCCTGTTGCCTACAGCCAATCCAGTGCAGCTACTTCCTCTTATTCCATTATTTCCAGTCAGATATGCAATACGTATCAAAAAGCACTGGGCTCCTTGCATATCTAGAGGAACTGCTCAGCCAGTCATGAAGCTCCTGATGCAGTTTATGTGCTGATGTTAATGCCAGAGGAGGTTTGGAACTTGACATTCAGCATCCCGTTTGCCACTGCATGGCTGAGATGCTGTGGTTGATGTAACTTTGACTTTGCAATACTATCAGCAGCAGTTGGAAATGATTACTTTGCATAAACTGTAACCCAGTCTCGACTGTTGGCTGCTGCCTTAGTGCCTTGAGGCGGTGGCCAGTGTGTCATGTGCTCGTCACTGTTTGTGGGTAAAAAACAAACAAACCCCCAGATAAAAGAAGTTACTGACTGTCAGACAATAGCCAAAGGTTTTTAAGTCCGTCTTTACACAAATGTGCTGCTGCTTTTACACTCTATATAGATGCTGGATTGGTATACTAAAGCACACCAGAAGGTTTCTGATAGCTTAAGTCGTATCTCTTATTTATAGATTCATTTATATGTAAATATTAGTTTATAGAGGTTGGCAGGAACTCTGAAGTGATATTCAGAGTGGATGGTGAGGAGTAACACTGCTTTACACTCTTTCGCTGTGAATCTTAAAGC